CTTTAGGTTTTTTTTTTTTGCCCATTTCTTAGTGGATTGTTTTTCTTACTGTCACTTTTATCTAGCCTTTATAGTTTGGATAGGGGTCCTATGTTGGATATGTGATTTGTAAAAGTTTTCTCTTAGAAGGTGATCAAGGCTAAGAAGTAGCCTTTTCAGTGCCTCAACAGGGTTTCTGGCAGAGCAGATGTTTTCAGTTCTGATGATGAGTGTGTTTTGAAGGTGAGAGCTGATGGCTTAGCAGGTAGACTGGGTGAATCCTGTTTCTGGCCTGAGCAACTGGGTGATGCCATTCACTGTCACGAGGAGCTCTGGGGAGAAGCTGGTGTCGGGTCTTATTAGAGATGACCAGTGTGGGTACAGAGGGGGGCATCAGGAAGGCAGTGAGAGATTAGGTCCAGAGGGCAGGAAATGTGGATTTTTGAGTCATTTGGGAGTGTGTAGAGGGGAGAGTCATGGGCCTGCATGAGCTTGTCCAGGCAGTGGATGCGGACAGAGAAGCATAGAAGCTGGGCCCTGAGTTTGCGGCATTGGACATTGAGGTGTAAGGGAGGAGAGTTCAGCAGGGATTGAGAAGGAGCCCTGAGAGATAGGAACAGGGAAGGTGTGGGTGCTGGGTATCAGGAAGGAGGCAGTCAGGGTCTGCTCTGCCCACTGAGGCTGCAGGACTGACTGGTGTGCCGCATGAGGGAAGTGAAGGGGCAGGGAATCCCGTGTCAGTGCATTCAGAGGAAGCCAGGCAGCAAGTGTCAAAACCCTGCCAAGTGGCGTCCTTTCTAACCCTCACCTAGAGTCTTGGGAAGTATTGCCTTGAAGACATCACCAGAAGTGGGAGGGATGTGTGCCCTTCACATTCTGGATCTTTCCTTGGCAGGCACCCAAGGAGGACAGCGGTGGGCAGAGCTGACCACCAGGATGGGTCCCCCGGGATAGACACACAGAGGTCAGCTGAGTACCATCAGCTGGATATTTGGTCATTTATATACACACAGGTCAGGTGCTGTTTAACTGGGTGTGAGATCAGACACAGACTGAGTCTGTGGAGCTATTTTTAAATTTTATTCTTTAAAGATGTTTGGCTTGCATTACTTTTTTTTTTTTTTTTAAATAAGTATACTTGAGATATGTCAAGGAAGCTATATTAAAGGTGAACCAGAGTATTGAATTAAAAGCCTTTTCCCCCAAAATTTAATATCTCTGGCTCTTGTTTGCTCAGTGATAAAGGTGATGGGATTTTTCAAAAAGAATACTTTCTTAATTAAGAAACAGCCACAAAATTGCATTGCTTAATGATCCAGCTATATTTATGTATTTATTTTATAAGTAATAATGCAGATTAAGTCACATTTGAATTTTTTCCTTCTATTTGGATGGTCTAAACAACGTATTTGTTAGGGCATCTGGGTGGCTCAGTTGGTTAAGCATCTGACTTCAGCTCAGGTCATGATGTTGCAGTTCGTGGGTTCAAGCCCCGCACTGGGCTCTCTGCTGTCAGCGCAGAGCTTGCTTGGGATTCTGTTTCCCTCTCTCTTTGCCCCTCCCCTCACTCACATGCACTCTCGTTCTCTCAAAAATAAATACACATAAAAAAATTTTTAAAAAAGAGGGGCGCCTGGGTGGCGCAGTCGGTTAAGCGTCCGACTTCAGCCAGGTCACGATCTCGCCGTCCGTGAGTTCGAGCCCCGCGTCAGGCTCTGGGCTGATGGCTCAGAGCCTGGAGCCTGTTTTCGATTCTGTGTCTCCCTCTCTCTCTGCCCCTCCCCCGTTCATGCTCTGTCTCTCTCTGTCCCAAAAATAAATAAATGTTGAAAAAAAAAATTAAAAAAAAAGAATGTATTTGTTTACTAGTGTTTTAAAGTCACGAAATGCCTTTTTGTGGCTTCATTAAGTGGTTTATGACACGCAGGGTGAGGTTGAAGTGGACTTTCTCAGTGGCTTCTTCACCACAAGATGAGGCTCCAGTGCGTTTGGGGACACGGGCTCTTTGTCTTGCTTTAGGTGGGACACCGTGTCCTCTGGTCTGGCAGACAGGTGCTGACAGTTGGCTTTTTTTTTTCTTTTTCAGGTGCACGTTTAGGTTCCCAAGCACAAACATCAAGATCACGTTCACTGCCCTGTCCAGTGAGAAGAGGGAGAAGCAGGAGGCTCCTGAGTCCCCAGTGAAGCCCGTGCAGGCCCACATCTCGCCCCTGACCATCAACATTCCAGACACCATGGCCCACCTCATCAGCCCCCTTCCCTCCCCCACAGGAACCATCAGGTACAGCAGCTCATGTGGTGGGCAGGGGTCACAGAGGGTCGGGTTGGGGGCGCACGCATGCTGAGATGTACGTGACCACGTCCCGATTCCGTTCCTTATCTCCTGCCTTGGGACTTGCAGAAGCTGTCATAAGTCATAGTCATGGGCAGGAGCGCACAGCAGCCAGCACCCGCTCCTTCCCCAGGTGGACCCTTCACCTGCCATTCAGTTTCTGAACACCCTTTGCTCTCAGGTTCCTGCATATGAAACACAGTCCCCAAACGTTCCTGACTTTTTCACTTATACTCTCTGTATTTGAGTGTAAGTTGAGAGAATTGTGATTTGCCACGTTGGTCTAAACTCTGAGCTGTTTTCCTTTGCATTTTGAGTTTGCTGCAACCTCATGTACATTCTGAGGATTTGTACTTTGGATTGATGAGTTTGACTGCAGTGAAGCAACAAACTTGTGTCTGTCATGATGTCCTAAGAGAGACTGGGTGCTTGAAGTGGAGGTCAGCGGCTTTGGGGCACACTCTTGGTGCAGAACCCAGAGCACAGTGGTCAGCTCATGCTGAGCTCTCAGAGGACAGCAGCTGAGGGTCAGGTCGAGGACGGCCACGGGACCCTGCAGATGTGCGTGCTTGGAGCAGGCGAGGTCGCCTCATGGGCTTGAAGTGCGGCTCTGCTGTGATGTTGCAGGGCTCAGCTGCGCTGGTCTCCTCGGACTCTGTTGGTGCTTAGAAGAGGGGGTGGTGTGTATTTGGGTGTCCTCTTAGCTGGGAGTGATGCTGGGTGTGGAACAAATGCCTGTACTACTATCTGGAGTCAGGCTCCTGCTGATGAGCTCTGTCCCAGCTGGCGCTGCGTGTGGCAGAGCCCGGGAGGGCACATGGGAAACTCGTGTCCGACCTCTCAGTCAGACACTTCCGTTTCTTACCTTAAAAACGAGCATCAGCGGTGGGACTTCCAGAAGGATCTGTGTTGTGTTTATTGATAAGTGGAGGGAGTGGCGAGTGGACTGGCTGTGGCTGCTGCTGCTCCAGCTCCAGCTCCAGCTCCAGCTCCAGCTCCAGCTCCAGCTCCAGCTCCAGGCTCGGCCTCCTGTGTAGCCGCTGCTGTTGGCGTCAGGCCCCTCCCTCTTCTGCCTCCTGCGGCTGCGCTGCTGAGGAAGCTGCCTTTGTCTCTCCCACTTGGTTGAATTTGTCTGCATGTGACTCCATGGACCAAATAGCCATTATGTCAGCGGAGAGCAACCACGTGGCCGGATTTCTGTTCGGAATTCACAGAGGAAGAGGAGAAAGCCCTGTTTGCCCACGTGGGATAACAACCCACAGTGGGAGCTGCAGCCTTGGAGACGGGCGCACTGACCCACTAGACGGTGGCGTGGGCACTCGGGGAAGGGGACTGTGGTTGGAGAAAAGCTCCTGACCCAGCCTCTCCTCACCTTCTCCGTCTTCATCCTGGTTTCCTTGCTCGTTCCTCCCCATGGCCGGTGCTGACCAACATAGTGCCCTTGCTGGGCAAGACAGTGGGGTGGGAGCCCAACTGTGGGTGGTTTGTGTGTGATGTGTGGGGCAGACTTGCCTTTTTTTTTTCTTTTTCTTCTTTTTTTTTCTTTTCCTTTTCCTTTTTTGTTTTTTTTTAACGTTTGTTTATTTTGAGAGAGAGAGCGCATGCACACGTGTGTGCAAACAAGGGAAAGGGAGAGAACCCCAAGTAGGCTCCACGCTGTGTGGAGCCTGATGCGGGGCTTGAACCCGTGAACTGTGAGATTGCACCTTGAGCCAAAGTCAAGAGCCAGACAGACGCTCAACTGACTGAACTGCCCAGGTGCCCCCGGACTTGCCTTCTCTAAACCCAGCATCCACTCCATACGGCCTCTCACCTTCCCCACGTCAGCACTTGTTAAGTGCTAGCTGTTTTTCAACATCGTGAGGCTTAAAGTCCTTTAGTGCAGGCCTGATTTTTTTCCCGGTGCTTTAAGAGCCGTTCGTGGCCTCAGCAGACACCTGTCCAGTGAGTGTGCGTGTAGGTACTCATTGTGCGTGCTCACGGTAGAGAGCCCAGTAGTGCTGCAGGGGACGCTGGCCCGGAGCACATCACCCCCTCCCCTTCCTTCTGCTCCACGTTCAGTTCCGGGTTTTGGAGGTAACTACTGTTGCTTATGTATTTTTTCCAGAAATTTTCTATATATTTGCAGTACTTGTCTTTTTTCCCCCAAATGCAACTAATCCCTAACCACACACTCTGGGTGTAACTTGATCAATTTCTCAGCCCGTCCTGTTTTTGGTGTCCTTCCACTGCAGCAGCTCATTCGTTGTAAAGTACGGGCCTGCGTGGAACGGGGGGGGCAGGAGCTCAAATGTGCAGCTTGGTGAATGACCACAGTCGAGTGGGAATGGCCTCTCGTCATTACACAGATGAGGAAGCAGCACCCCAGCCCTGCCATGTGAAAAAAAGGCACCCATGTTTAAACATGGGTTCCTGAGGTGCCTGGCTGGCTCAGTTGGTAGACTGTGTAACTCTTGATCTTGGAGTTGTGAGTTCGAGCCCCGTGTTGGGGCTAGAGTTAACTTTAAATATAAATGAAGAGGCGCCTGAATGGCTCGGTTGAGTGTCCCAACTTCAGCTCGGGTCATGATCTTGCAGTTCATGGGTTGGAGCTCCATAGTGGGCTCTGTGCTGATAGCCAGGAGCCTGGAGCCTGCTTCCGATTCTGCGTCTCGCTCTCTGTGCCCCTCTCCTGCCGTGCTCTCTCAAAACTAAATAAATGTTTAAATTTTTTTTTTAATAATAAATAAAATAAGTAAATAAATAATTTTTTTTAGTGGTCTCCTGTCGGGGGGGGGGAGGGGCAGGTGCTGTGTCCTAACTGACCTGACGCATGTGCTCCGGGGCCTGATGCCATCTGCATCTGTGTCCATGGCCTCATCCTCTTTCTGTGTTCCCTCTTCTTGGCCCGGCTGCCTTTCTCTTTCTCTGGATTCTCCCTGACCTTTCTGGTGTAGCTGGAGGCCACGTCCTAGGTGGGAAGGGAGTGAGCAGAGCCTGTGCTCTGTGTCCCTTTGCGAGCCATTGCATATGCCTCCGTGTCCTTGGTAAGTTCCAGAACCATCCTGAGCCTCCGTTTCCTCACTGGTGAAACAGGTGGACCACCACCTCCTTTGATAGTTTGTTTTGTGATTATGGAAGAGAACACATGTGGAAGCAGATATCTGATTTCCACGTTTCCTGGAGTGATCTTAAATTTCACGGAGAATTTAGTGAGTCCATTTTTCATAGAAAATGCTGATATTCTAATTTTTAAGTTTGTTTTCATTGAAATCAGAACGAGTCTTTGAAGCACGGTGTGATGTATGTTCTGTATTAGGCTGATCGCAGCCACTTTTTCCCACCCACAGTGCTGCAAACTCCTGCCCATCCAGCCCCCGGGGAGCAGGGTCTTCGGGGTACAAAATGGGCCGTGTGATACCAGCTGACCTCAATTTAATGGCCGACAACTCCCAGCCAGAAAATGAAAAGGAAGCTTCTGGTGGAGACAGCCCAAAGGTAAATGTTTTATAGCCTTGAAACAGAACCTGGGGCCGTCACGTGACCAGCTGTCCTCCCTTTGCTGTCTGCATGTCTAGTAATGTCGCTGCCAGGGCCTTGTGTGGATCCAGGTTGGTTGTGGGGTCCCTTCCTGTTGAGTAGGTTCTTGGGGTTGGGGTCTTAGAATAAATGAATTATTTTGGTCATTCACCACTGGGTGCTCCCCAGTGTCAGCTATGGGCCCAGGTGCTGAGATCTGAACCAGTGGAGGACAAGAGAATCGCTTGGTCCTCACGCGGTGATAAGCACTGTGTCCCAGGAAACCGTTCCCAGGGTTTAGTCCTGCTGTCCCAGATGCTGAAGGTTGCACATGCACTCGTGTCTGAATGTACACGTGCACACATGTGCCCAGGAACACACCCTTTTGGGACAGTGGTTGTTGAACACGCTGTGACCCTGCGTATCCCTGCATGTTTTTGTTCTTTGACCCAGTAATGCCCCTTCTAGGATTTTGTCTAAAAGGAAATGGCAAAAATCTCAAACAAAAATTTATATAACACAGAAAATTGAAAGCAGCCTGAATGCCCCCTAAGAGTGATCAAGCAAGGAAATATTATGCAGCATAGTCACTGATATGGAAGTATTGTTGGTATAATGCTCGGTGAAAAAGAATAAAGCAACGCGTAGTATTAGTTACATCTGTATAAAATGTGACGTATTTGTGCAGTAGCACACAGCACAGTCATGGAGGAGACGGCCGTAGTGGTGCACCACCTGTCTGCTGTGGCTAGGAGCCTTGCACACGGGGCGTGCCGGGCAAGGGAGGGAGGCTCAGAGGGGCACCATCAGTGGGGTTCCATGTTGATACAGTTGCCTGTTTAAAATCAGGCAAAACTAAATTGTTTCAAGGTGTGTTCTTAGATGCTAAAACGTTGACAGCAAGATTGTCATTATGACAAAATGTCAGAGGTAATGGCAGCTTCTCTGGGGGTAGAGGCTGCAGGCCCAGGGGGCATATGGAAGCTTCTGGGATGTGGGCTGTGTTCTCTCTTGACCTAGTGTTGGTTGTCCTGATGTTCACATCACAGAAATTTGTTTTCAGCTGATGAGGATGTATTACAGGCTTTGCTATCTGTGTTACATTTTTCAATAAAAAAAAAAAAAGTTTTTAGCAATATGTAGAAAAAAGGTAACCAGGAGACACAGCCAGTGGCACAAGCACGATGAGGAAGGCTTTGTGTTCTGAACCTGCTGCCTGGAGTAGTCTCCAGCTCCACCAGTTCGCCTGGCCCTTTCCAGAGTCTGTCCGCTCAGGGTAGTTGGGGCAGAGCCCAGCTGAAGTGTTCAGGAAATACTAGCTGTTTACGAGTGCGGCCAGTGTCTCTGCATAGAATATGTGCCCCCCACCGCTATCAGGACCGATCATGGGCTGGGCAGCTGAGGCCCACGCTCCTTTCTTTGGCACGTCTACCTTCCTTCCTGTCTGTCCGTCCTCTGCTTGTCTTCTTTTCGTCCATTTGTGTTTATCCCTAAGCAATGTCTCAGTTGCTTCTTTTTAAACCTCATATAATGAGTATCATCTTGACTCTGACCGTGCTTTAAGGTGTGTTGTCCTGGACTTTACTGAGGTCAGGCGGCTCTTTTCTTTTCCTTATGTTTTTTGTTTTTGCCATTGGAGTTTCTCTTTATGTGGTTTTAATATTCTTTTTTTACACTGCTTGTGCATTTTTCCATTTGTTTCCTCTAAATTTTCCAAATGCTTCTCAATTTATGTTACTTTCATAGTAAGGAAAACTAAGCATTTTCACAGGAACACTTAAAAGCACAAACAATCCTAGGGGCACTTGGGTGGCTTGGTTGGGTGTCTGACTTTGGCTCTGGTCTTGATCTCACAGTTCGTGGGTTCAAGCCCCACGTTGGGCTCTGTGCTGACACCTTAGACCCTGGAGCCTGCTTTGGATTCTGTGTCTCCTTCTCTCTCTGCCCCTCCCCTACTCACACTCTTCTCT